TTTTCAAAGAACCAGATTTTGGTCTTATTAACTTTTTCAATTTTTTTTTTCCATTCTCTATTTCATTTAATTCTGCTCTAATTCTCATTGTTTCCTTCCTTCTAGTACCTGAGGGCCTCTTTTGCTGCTCTCTTTCTACTTGTTCCAGTTGTAGGGTTACTGTTTTGATTTTGGCCCTTTCTTCTTTTTGGATGTGTGCATTTATTGTCATAAACTGACCTCTGAGCACTGCTTTTGCTGTGTCCCAAAGGTTCTGGTAAGATGTGTTTTCCTTCTTGTTTGATTCTATGAATTTCTTTATTCTATCCTTATTTTCTTCTATGACCCAGTAGTTTTTGAGCAAGTTGTTGATCAGTTTCCATGTGTTTCATTTTTTTTCCCTTGCTGTTTCTGTTATTGATTTCTACTTTTAAAGCTTTATGATCAGAAAAGGTGCTTTGTAATATTTTGTTGCTTTGGATTCTGTTAAGGCTTGCTCTATGACCTAATATGTGGTCTATTCTGGAGAATGTTCCATGTGCGTTGGAAAATATACTTGGCTGCTGTTGGGTTAGGTGGAGTGTTTGGTATATGTCTATGAGATCAAGTTGGTTGATGGTAGCATTTAGCTCTTCCGTGTCTTTGTTGAGCTTCTTTCTGGATGTTCTGTCCTTCACCAAAAGTGGTGTGTTGAAATCTCCTCCTATTATTGTGGAGCTATCTCTCTTTTCAATGCTGTTAGAGTTTGTTTTATGTATTTTGGAGCCCTGTCGTTGGGTGCATAAATATTCATTATAGTTATGTCCTCCTCCTAGTGTATTGACCCTTTAGTGATTATATAGTTTCCTTCCTTATCCTTTGTGGTGGATTTTACTTAAAAGTCTATTTTGTCAGAGATTAATATTGCCACTTCTGCTGTTTTTGGATTGTTGTTTGCTTAATATATTTTTTTCCATACTTTGAGTTTTAGTTAGTTTGTGTCTTTAAGTCTAAGGTGTGTCTCTTGTAACAGCATATAGATGGATCATGTTTTTTAATCCAATCTGCCACTCTTGTCTCTTTACTGGTGTGTTTAGTCCATTTACTTTCAGCATGATTATTGATAGCTATGAGTTTAAGTGCTGTCATTTTGATATCTTTTTTTGTGTGTTGTTGACAGTTTCTTTGTTCCACTTAATTTTCTGTGCTGAGTTGTTTTTCTTTATGTATTTTCATCCTTTTCATTGTTGTTGATTTTGTATTTGCTTAGTCTTTATATTTTTCTTGTTTTTTATTTTGACATGCAGGATTGTTAGTTTCCTTTGTGGTTACCTTAATATTTACCCCTATTTTTCTAAGTTTAAACCAGTTTTTTATTTCTTTATATTGCTTTGACTTCCTCTCCATATGAAAATCTATGTCTACATTTTTTAGTCCCTCTTTTTTGTTTTAATGTTGTCATCTTTTACATATTGACATTTCTGTGTCCCTATTTTCAGTGTTTTAACTTCGATTTATTTTTGTGACTTCCCTATCTGGGTTGATATCTGGTTGCTCTGTCCTGTTTTCTAGTCTTGGGTTTTATCTGATGTTATTGATTTGCTAACCAGAAGACTCCTTTTTGTATTTCCTGTAATTTTGGTTTGGCTTTGCAAATTCCCTAAACTTCTGTTTATCTGGAAATACCCTAATTTTGCCATCATATTTGAGAGATAATTTTGCTGGATAAATATTTCTTGGCTGACAATTTTTTTTTTCCTTTAAGACTTTGTATATGTCATCCCATTGACGTCTTGACTGCATGGTTTCTGCTGAGTAGTCCAAGCTTACTCTTATTGACTCTCCTTTGTAGATGACTTTTCATTTATCCCTAGCCACTCTTAAAATTCTCTATCTTTAGTTTTGGCAAGATTGATTATAATATGTCTTGGTGATTTTCTTTTGGGACCTACCTTATGTGGGGTTCAATGAGGGTCTTGGATAGATATCTTGTCATCTTTCACAATATCAGGGAACTTTTCTGCCAACAAATCTTCAACAATTCTCTCGGTATTTTCTGTTATCCTCCCCTGCTCTGGTACTCCAGTCATTCATAGGTTATTCCTCTTGATAGAGTCCCACATATTTCTTAGGTTTTATTCATTTTTTTATCCTTTTATATGATTTTTCCTTAAATAAGTTTATCTTCAGTCTCACTAATTCTGACTTCCATTGCCTCGGTTTCGCTCCTGTGACTTTCCACTGCGTTATCTAATTCTGAAATTTTATTGTTAATCTTCTGGATTTCTGATTGCTGTCTCTCTATGGATTCTTGTAGAATATTAAATTTGTCATTATGCTTGTCTCTAGTCTTTTTAAGGTCCTCTATTTGGGGGGGGGTCTGCTTTTTGCCTAATTTCCTTCCTAATGTCTTGAAGAGTTCTGTATATTAATCTTTTGTATTCTGCCTCTGGTAATTCCAAGAAATTCTCTTCCTCCAGAAAATTTCTATATTCTTTATTTTGGGAGATTGCTGAAGCCATCATGGTCTGCCTGTTTATGTGGTTTGATATTGACTGTTGTCTCTGAGCCATCAGTAAGTTATTATATTTATTTATGTTTGCTTACTGTATCCTAACTTCTTGTTTTGTTTTAATATACCCAAATAGGCTGCTCATGTGAACTAGCCCTGTTACCAGTGCCTCTGAAGCTCCAATGTCCTGCCACCAGGTGGCTAGACCTGTCACTAAGCATGTGAACCCAGGAGTCTGCCCACTCCTCCTGTATGGATTCAGCTCAGGTGTCAGATAGTCAGCCACCAAGTGTGTGGTGCAGCCTCTCACCTAGAGTCGTAGACAGGCTTGGGTGATTCGTGTAGGCACAGGCATCCAGCTGCAGCAAGAGGACACAGTGAACAAGGCAGGGGGCCAACGGCCACCCCAGAGTGTCTGGGAGGAAAGCATGTCCCTGTTCCCTACAGCATGCAGATGGGTGGGTTTTGCAGCCGGACTATGAGCACCCAGTGCTGTTGGCTGTAAGGACTGGGGGACACCTCTTTTTTTTGGGCCTCTGTCACAGGTGGTTAGGTGGTGTGGGTGGAGCCACCAGTCCTCAGGCCCCTGATGTGGGTAGGTGAAGACCCTGCTTAATGGATAGAGCAGTGTCAAATGTCATGAACCTCCCACTTCACAGCTGAAACAGTTGAAGTTAGTCTTTAGCTCTATACCCTGTTGTACTATGGTAATGAGGGCCTACGCTGTTGAAATGGGTCCATACAAGTCCATGCAGGGGGAAAGGCACTCAAGGTCCGTTGATTCGTTATGCCTGTGCCTAGGCAAAGGAGCTGTACCTACCCTGAGCTCCTGGCTTAGGGGAGCCAGCAGATTATTTTTCCCTGTTTGTTAGTTTGTTCACTCTCCAAGGCCAGGAGAATGGTTCAGGGTGTGTGATGGGTCCTACTTCCAGCCCAGGGGACTCTGCAATTGCTGAAGCTGCCCCAGACCCAGTGCAGAGTAGGGAGCAGGGAGGTAAATGGGAGAGAGGTTTTTCCCTAAGGGGGTTGTTTTTGATCCGCACAGTAGGCCAGATGCAAATACTTATCTTTCGCCTCAAGGGCTACTTCTCACTGGTTCTGAATGGCTGAGTAGACCCTCTGCTGCTAGGTCTCCCACAGTGCGGAAAACACCTACAGAGCACTGCTGCTTGCCTGCCTTACCATGCACCCCGAGCTGATCTGGGCTGAAGCACTCAGGCTTTCGCCGGGTCAGGTCTAGCATGCCCTCGCTGCTTCCAAACCGTCTCTCCCTCTCCCTACCACTCAGTCTGATTCCTCTCTTTGCCTTTGATGTTCAGGGCCCTTAGATTGTCATATATAATTAAGTCACTTGATTTTTTGGGTCTTTGTTGTAAGAGGGACCACTGGAAGCATCTGACTTCTCCACCATCTTGGCCTCATCCCCGTTTCATGAGTTTTTACAGTAATGATCTCATACGGTATTTGCCCTTTTGTGATTGACTTATTTCACTCAGCATAATGCCCTCCAGCTTCATCTAAGTTATGAGATACTTCACAGATTCATCATTGTTCTTTTTCGTTGCATAGTAACATTAATTATTTTTGTGATTTCAGAAAGCACCTGTGTGTTGTATACAGCTATTGATTTATAACCACAATTAAAGCAAATTATATTAAATATAAGAATGTTGTTGTTAGCTGCCATTGCATTGGCCCCTGACTCATGGTGACCCCGTAAAAAAACCTGTTGCCATTGAATCAGTTCCAACTCATAGCAACCCTCTAGGACAAGTAGAACTGCCCATAGAGTTTCCAAGGAGCAGCTGGTGGATTTGAACTGCTGACCTTGAGGTTAGTAGCCAAGCTCTTAATCACTGTGCCACCATGCACAATGGAAAAAAAAATGCTGCCCAGTCGTCTGCCATCCCCACAATCAATTGTGGATAAGACTATTGCAATCCATAGGGTTTTCATTAGCTGATTTTTGGAAGTAGAGTACCAGGCCTTTCTTCCTAGCCTATCTTAGTCTGGAAGCTCCATTGAAACCTGTTCAGCATCATTGCAACACGCAAGCCTCCTCTGACAGACAGGTAGTTGCTGTACATGAGGTTCACTGGCTGAGGTCTTCTGCATGGAAGGCAAGAATTCTGCCACTGAACCAACACTGCCTGCCCCCCAAATATAAGAATAGTTGTTATAATAAGTTAGCTTTACTGATGGGCTTTACTTTTTAAGTAGGCTTAATTTTATTCAGAGGTGGTCATTCTTCTTTGGGCAGATCAACAAACAAAGAGACAGATATTCAGAAATCTAATTTCCTCCAGTTTCCCTAAGTAAATGCCTCCTCATTTGTATTGCCTCTCATACTTTTCTATGTGGATCACCTGCACAAGCTCTCTTCTACCACTCGGACAGCCAGGGAGAATCCTTCTCAGTTGTGCTCTTACCTCATCAAAGTGATCAGAGTCGTTACTTAGGAATCACTCTATAGAAATCATACAAACTGATGACTGACATTCTTCCTTTTCAGGAGTGTGGAAAGAAACAGTCAATGCAGGAGAAGACATTTATGCTTTACCTGGCTTTGATGTCAACCTGACCTGCCAAACATGAAAAAAAGACTTCTTGGTGCAGATGCAACGGTCCAAGGTCACCAATAAGGTGGACCTAATTGCCCTTTATCAACCTCAACATGGCTTCTACAGTGCCAATGAGAGTCCCTGTGAGTCACTGGTGACATTCACAGAAACTCCTGGTAATATGTTAAAGTGGACTTTGCACTTAAGGAAGGTGTCTTCCTCACTCAGTGAAAAGTATGAGTGTAGCTTTACTCTGTATCCAGAGGGCACTCAGACTAAAATCTACAACCTTCTAATTCAGACAAATGGTAAGCACAACTGGTAGAGGTAAGGAAGCACATTCAGCTCTCACTCATTCAACAAATACGTATTATCAGTCAACATGTGCTAGGCCTGGTATACAAAGGTTGAGCAGAACCTCTATTAGGGGAGACCGAACCTAGTCAAATAATTACACAAATAAACACAAAATTTCACTAGTGATAGTTGCTAATAACCAAAGCAGTGCCACGAAAGAGCATATAATAGAGGTTATAAAAATTGTCCGCAAGGAAGTAACATTTGAGCTGGGGTGTGAGGACTGAGTAGATGTTAATGGGATTTATGAAGGTGGGGGTTTGTGAGTGATCCAGAGAGAGGGAGCACCATGTGTGAAGGGCTCTGTAGTGTTTCTGGAAATGGGGAAATGACAATGGGACTGCACTGCAGAGATTAAGGGATGGGGCTGGAGATGTGGTAAGGATCAGATCATGCTTGACCTTGTCAGTCATGTTCAAAGCTTTGACTTTTATCCTAAAAACCATGGGATGGCATTGAAATATCTACAACAAAATGATGGCATGACATTGTTAGCATGATTGTGTTCACATTATAAAAAGACCATGCTGGCTGCAGTTTGAGAATGGAGTGAGGGTGTACAAGAAGGAAAATGTGAAGACAAGTTAGGAGATTACCTCAGTAGCCCAGAGGGTGAGAGTGGTGCTTTGAGTAGATATAGAAGTAAAAATAACAGATTTTATACTTAGAGCATAAAACATATATGATTTGGTAATAGATTGGATAAAGGAGCAGGGGAGCATGGGTGAAGGAGAGGGAAAAGTGGAAGATGACATCTGAGTGTTTGGTCTGCTCACCTGGATGGTGGTGCTATTCACTGAGATGGAAGGCAAAGGAAGAGGACCAGGTTTGTGGGGAAATTTATGAACGAGGCTTTGGATATATTGACTATAGGACAGATAAAGATGGCAAAGAGACCATTGGACATGTAGTGTTTACAGTACACATGTTTCGGATGCTTGTATTTGGAGGCAGGAGTCCTAGCTTTAAAGTCTAGTTCCTTTCTAGTCATGTTACCTGTCACACAAACTTACTGAGTCCATCTGGAAAATGATAAAAATGTGTACCCTAAATTACTTGGTCCTAAAGTAAATTATTTCCATTTCTAATGAAAATGAAAGCCAACAAATGAAAAATATGTGGAAATGGAGTGTTTTTAACCCCGGAGCAAAGTGATGTAATATAATCTAAGAAAAAACAACAAAATTTAACTCATTAAGGCCATGCTAAAGGAAGCAGAGAGCTGCTCAGGACAAGCAACAGGTATGGATTTATTACCTCCTCTCTGTGGCTTATATCTTACCTGCCCCAAGAACACAATATTTAAATGGTACATTTATAGACCAGGATCCGCTCCACCACTACTTAACAATGCTCTGTTTTCATTGCTGTTTTCCAACTGAAAAAGTGCTTGAGTTCATTTGGGAGTGGGGCAGGGTATAGATGAAGTGAAGAGAAATAAGGAGGCCTACGTGAAACAATGTTTAGTTATACATACTTTGGTGTCAGGTAGCCTGTGTTTAAGGGTTTGGCTCTGCCACTTACGTATATACGTATATATGATCTTTGGCAAGTGATTTCAAGTGTCTAAGGCTTTGTTTCCTTAGGTAAAGCATATGGATAATAACAATATCTTCTTCATTCCAGTTGCTGCAAAGTTTATTCTGACTCATGGCAACCCCATGGGTGTGAGAGAGTAGAACTGTGCTCCATAGGGTTTACAATGGCTGATTTTTCAGAAGTACGTCACAGGCCTTTCTTTTGAGGTACCTCTGGGTGGACTTGAACCACCAATCTTTTGGTTAGAAGTACAGCCTTTAATCATTTACATCACCCAGGGACTCCACTTCCTTCATAGGTACCTTTATTTTGATGATTAAATGAAGTAATCTGTGTAAAGGACTTAGCATAGTTTTTTCCAAAAGGTAAGAGTTTGGTAAATGTTTGTTTGCTTTAAGAGCAGTAAGATAATCATAATGAGTCAATTCTATTTCTTAATTCTTATTAAAATGAGCCCTCCTCCCTACTTTTTCATACTGGTCTAATTTGGAACTCAACAGGACATTCGCCATTTGCATTAGCACAAATCACGTCGACCTTGACTTTAGCCATAGATTCTGTACCTTCTGTTCAAACCAGTGAACTATATGATTGCATGCCTGAGGACCTGATGTTTGTTACATTGAAAATTGGCAATATCAGTTGACGTACCGTCTAGAAAACAGGATACGTGATGGCTCAAAATGAAGACAGCAATGGGGAAGAGGTACTATGTTACTCAGAAAGGACAGTGGGTGTTACTTCTAAGGAAAGTGTATTTCTGAATATAAAGGGCAGCCTAAATGGGCTAAGCTTGTAGCTTTTACCAACTGCAAATCACTAGAGAGGCAGAAGTCATAACTAACCTTTGTAGCTAGAAAATTCCCAGTCTGCAGATTCTAAGTTTGCAGCAGTCAGCTGGATCAGATGAAAAGCAATGGCTTTAGCCTTAGAGAAATGGTTCTGGTGTTGTGTATTTGGGTACAGTGCAAGCAAAATAGAAAAAAGTAAAACAGAAGGGGAAACAAATCCCGTGCCACAAAGTGACCAAAAAATGAGCTTGATTAAGGGCAAAGGATTAGACACTTAACTAGAGGAGGCAGTTGCCTTCTGAGACCTCTGTCAAGTCCCCACCCAGTGGCACATCTTCCTTTCCTCCTTTGCTCTTTTCATCTTCTCTAGCTTCTTTCACTTGAGCCGCTTCCCTCTGATAGCTTTGTGCTCCTTTAAGTTTACAAACTAGCTGGGTAAGCAAAGGACACGTGAAGTGCAAACACCTGTGAAGTGTATAAACAAATGCAAATGGAAGGAGTGTATAAACATCTAAATACGAAAATGCGAGCGATCAGCAAGAGTTGGGTCAATCATCTCTTTCTGTTATGATCTGAATTATTCTCTTTCTTGTCTATGGACAAAACAGTGTGTCTAAATCCCGTCCCCCTTGAGTGTGCGGTCACATTGTGGAGGTTGTAACTAATGTCACAATACAATACGTGTATAAATTTTTGTTTGAGAAATTAACTTGAGCTGTAAACTTTCACCTAAAGCACAATTAAAAAAAAAAAAAACTGAAGACATTATCTGAATATATCAAGTAGATTTCTATTAAAAATACTCATTTTTTCTTACTCTATATGTAAACTTTACATAGACCCTTTGACTTACACATATTTTGTAAATACTAAACTAATAGGTCAAATTAATTCAAATTTACAGATTGTGTTTCTTTGTTTATGAGTAAAGTCCCGCAAATTAAAATACTGAAGAGACTGGGATAAAAAGATATTTTCTGTGTTTATGCAGGTAAAGGATACACATCGACAATATGTAAACAACTCTTTCAAATATGTAAGAGACAAACAACCCAAAAGAAAAATGAGCAAGGACTAGGAACAGACAATTCACAGAAGGGAAAATATCAGCAATAAGAAAAATATAAATAATAAGATACAATTTTATACCCATCATAGTTTCAAAAACATTAATTATCTGAAAATACCAAGAGTTGATGGAGATGTGAGTAAAGACAGACTTGTATTTTGCAGGTGTTAGTGTAAAATAGTGAACAGTTTAGAGAATAACTTGGCAGTATATGCTAAGGTTGAAAATGTACCTATCCTATGACCCAGAATTTCACGAGCTCTAAGAAGGTAAATACACTATAACAAAACAACCAAACTCTTCTCTTGGATGTACAAAGAGAAATGTATGCAAACAAGTTTACTGCAGAATTATTTTTAATAAAAAATACATGTAAATAAGTATATTTTAAAATATATGGAAAGAAGCCAAATGTCCATCAATAAGGAGGTAGATGAATCTTGTGTATTCATAATAGTGTATTAAAAATAAATAAATCCTGTCCCCCTGCTCCCAGAAGGCATAGCTGAGAAGGGATTCTGTTTTGTTTTCACAATATTTTGTCCCTGTATGTGTCTTAGTGCTCCAAGGGTGTGAATGAGGGGAAAATCTGATCAGCAGTTTGGTATTTGCTTCTTTTTCATTTTCATTTGGCAAGGTTTCCCCTTAGGTTAGGAGCTTTAGAATTATTCCAAGAACACGGTACTCTGACTTAAGCCTTGGGTTACTGTTATCTTCTAAATTTTTATAATTTGAATGTTACTGGATCTCACCTTTCATTTTAAAACTTGAAATTAATAGTATTAGTTTTAATGGTACAACATGGTTTTAGTTTCTTAGATTACAACAAAAACCTTAAACTAGTTGTCATCAAGTTGATTCCAACCCATGGTGATTCCATGTGTTGCAAAGTAGAACGGTGCTCCATAGGATTTCCATGGCTATAATCTGTATGGAAGAAGATCACCAGGTCTTTCTTCCAAGGCACATCTGGGTGAGTTGGAACTACCAACTTTTTGGTTAGTAGCTTTGAACTTAACCGTTTACACCACCCAGGGTCTCCTTAATAAAAGCCTTAGGGAGTTGCTAATGTTATCAAAAATAGTAGTAGTGGAAAGAGGGGGAGTTGTGATAGAAATAGTAGTAATAGTAGTAACCCTGTATAGAGACATAGTTTGCTCTTGAATCTGAATGCTGGTCTCCTGAAATTCTTTATTCAACAGTGTCATGGATTGAACTGTATCCTCGAAAAATATCTGTCAACTTGACTAGGTCATGATTCCCAGTATTGTATGATTGTCTACCATTTTATCATCAGATGTGATTTCCCTATGTGTTGTATATTCTATCACTATGATGTAATAAGATGAATTAGCGGCAGTTATACTGATGAGATCTACAAGATTAGATAGTGTCTGTCATGGTTTGAATTATGTCCCCCCAAAAATGTGTGTATCAATTTGGCTAGGCCATGATTCCTGGTACTGTGTGATTTTCCTGCATGTTGTAAACTTGCCTCTATGATGCTAATGAGGGAGGATGGGTGGCAGTTGTGTTAGTAAGGCAGGACCTG